TTATAGTTACTACTGGATATGTTTATCTGGAAGTAAGCTGGGTTCACTGGCCATTCCTCACAGGTAAGTACTTCCAGAAACAATAACCATATTGTTCTATAACAAACACCATTTCCCTTTTCCAGGACACTCCACTGCTCCTGACCAAAAAAGTTGTGGTCCTTCAACAAAGGAAATTCACACAGCGCATATCAGGAAGTTGCACTCCATGCAGTTGAGATCCCTGAATGATTTGGAGTTGTGGTGCTTCTGCGCAGGCCTCTGATGATCAGGTCAGGCCCAATGCTGGGGCAAGCACCAGCTCCTGGTCATCCCCAGATGCCCCTTCCTACAATTATTTCATAACTGTGGCTCATTCTTCTTACATTTCATTTTAATTTGATCCCATTTTTACATTTCCTTCTTCTATGCCTATGTGCACGTGTCTGTGTGTGTGGGGGGGGGGTGTGGGGGGTGTGTGAGAGAGAGAGAGAGAGCGAGTGCTGCCAATTGAAGATAACACTTCACACATCAGATGAAGTGGGCTCTAGTCCATGAGAGCTAATGCCAAATGCCACAAGTCTTTTTTGCTGTTTTTCCCAGGCAAGAGGGCATTGAACTGCAGCCTTTAATCATAATTTGGATCCAAAACTGTCATTTGATTTTAGTCTGCTTCAACCCTTATCTTTGCGCTGAACACTTCCTACTGATTTCCAGTACTAATATGTCTTATTTTCTAAGTTTGACTATAAATGGTAACATGCTAAATTAAGCATGGACCTAGATCTCTCTCTCTCTCTCTGTGGGGGTGTGTGTGTGAGAGAGAGAGGTGGGGGGAGAGAGAATGAGAGGGAGAGGGAGAGAGAGAGAGTTGCTTCATACCAAAATATTTGCTGCCATCCTCTGGAGTTAACAAATATTACTGCTTCAAAGACAAAAGGAAAAAAAACACCCTGGTACTAATCTTAGCATATTGACCATATAATGGAATTTCACAAGATGGAGAAATAAAATGCTAATGCATTTTCAGAAATTTGGGTAGCCACCTTTTATGAGCCATTCATATGGTAGTCCATAAGAAGTAGAAAGCTTATAATGGCATTATTTATGTCAATTTCTGTGAAGGCAGAATAGGGCATGCAAATAAACTATTAGTTATGTCTATACTTGTCACAACGTGTGCATGTTCAATGAAAGGAGGTGTCATGAGCACATTCCCCCCACATTTTTCTTTTCCAACAGACCAAAACAAAAAGCTTGTAAAATACAGCTTGGCATGTTGTGCTGTGATACAGGGCATTCTCTATGAGAGCTCTTAACAAGTTGCATAAGTCAAAGTACAATCCTGCTGATCTGTGGGAATAGTTTCAGCCCATGTAAAGAGTTGATTCCAATCTGGAATCGTCCCCTCCTCCCTTAATTTTACCAGAGTCTGGCCTCCATCCTCAGGATGGTTTATGCCACTTTCTGAGCCAAACTGCAGGAAGATAACCGGTCTGCCTGATTGGCCAGGCCGGACCAGTTTGCCATTTATCCTCCACTGCCTCCCTCCACCCACACTCCCATGTCCAGGAACACTTGGTTCTCATTTGCTGCCTAACTAGTCTCACATCTAACCTTGACTTTTCGGAGCCACCTGCCAGCTTCTCCCCTTCTACCCCATTTATCTCACATTCCATATCTGAACTTTCTGGCTGGGAAAACTGCATTGTGAGATATCTCCCCAACTCCACAGGAAGGGAGACTTCTGGAGAGAGGAGACAGCAAGAAGAGCATGTATATTATTATTTAAAGACACAGGATAAATTATTTCACAGAAATATAATGTTTAGTATCAATGTTTTATCATCCTTACTCTGAGAAATGACATCACTGTGCAGGGTAATGACATGCAGTTAATACAAATAGGGACCCGTGATTGTTCTTCCAGTCCTAAAAGCCACTTAAGCAAAGCACATGCTAAGTGGAAGTAAGAATGTGAGAGCCTGCTGAATTAGACCAATAACAATCTGTCTGGCATCTTTATTTTCCACAGCATCTATCCAAACATTTCTAAAAAGCCATAAACAAGATCTATGTGCCAATGGCAGCTCAAATTTTTCCACCTTATTTGTGGGCAGAATTATGGGGGCAGGACAGCTTCACCAAATTTCTCCAAAGGGAAGAAATATTTTCAATGGTTTCTGATAGGTAGGGCTCACCACTGGCAGAGGTGGTGGGACAGCTTTTTTCATACAGTTCCTGCTTTAGCTGTGCTGCCCTTGCAAGTGGCAACAGCACCAGCAGGGTGGCCCCTTTTTGCACCCAGCGTAGAGAAGGTGTGTGAGGAGGGCAGTGGTGCATCCGGCTTCAAGGTGGAACCATGGCTAGCATTGAGACTAAATCTGTCCTCCAATTTCCTGAAAGTTTTTTCCCCCATGAAAGAAGACTCCATTATGCAGCTTCATTCTCAAGGTATTTAGTAATGTATTTGGTAGCATTTTTTGAGCTTAACGGATGCCTATGAGGTGGCCATTTGCACCATGGGTGTTTCCTTCATTGCTCTGAAGCCTCCAGGGCTGCCTGCACTTCCTGATCTGAAAAAGCCCAACAGGAGGAATGACCTCATGATGTTTCTCCTCCACTTTGGCTGAACTGTGGGAAGCCAGGGAGACTACAGGCTGCTGGAGAGTTGAGCAGACACTTGCACACGTGTCTCCACCACCTTCTAAGCAAGGTTGGCATCAGTAATCCAAACACAGGCTACAAGAGTTTCTCCGAAAGTTTCTTCTCCTCTGAACATCTTTGCAAAAGCAATTTGTTCTATTTATTCATTCAGTTTGAGGAGGGAAGAAAGAAATGTGGAAGCATTTTTCAGCACATGGCCACAGTCTTTGTTCAACATCCTGCTCCCACTGCAATGCCCTGGAACCTCCAGAGACGGTAGGTGTTTTATTACAGTCAATATCTGCTGTTATCTCCCAAGTTAAAGCCATCACATCACAATACATTCAATAAATATGCACTGTCCTAGAAATATGCATTATTTTTGTGGTTATCCAGCATCTACTGCCAATCAATTTAATTGTTTTGATATTAGGAGAAACATCCATCCCCTTTAGGGGTCTTTTTAAAAAATCATTCCCCTCCCCATTTTTAAAGACTTTAATAAAAGAAAGATGCTCAAGCAATCTGACAATTATCATTGCTTTTTTTCAAACCTTCCCCACCATTGATTTAACTGGGGCAAGATATTCAGACTGTAGCTACAGCTATAGATTTATACAAAGGCTTTATAATACTTGTAATTTCATTTTCAGCTCTTTTCCTAACCAAGTATGGAATTTGACTGTTTTTACTGCAGCTGAAAACTGAGTTGAGGTTTTTAATGAGCATGTATTCAACACACAAAAGAATGGGCTATTAAGTCTTTGTATAAACTTTTTTCTGCCTGGTGGCCTCCAACTGCACGAGACTATGGCAAATTGTGGATTATGGGAGTTGTAGTCCAATACATGTAGAAGCCATCTGGTTTGGAGAAACATTTGCTCTTTATGCAGAGCCAGAAAGACAGATAGGATAAGAGCAAACACTTCTATGACTTGCTATGGTTTGCCTTTAAGGTTAAACTTAAGTCTAAACTAACAAAAAAAATCAGAAACACTTTGCTTTCCGATATTGACAGGAAAAGAAATTTCAGATTCAAGTTTATGAACAGTCTACAGATATTCGTGAAAATGAATATTTAATTCCATAGTTGAGGAACTATGTTTAGTGTCAACACTCACTAAAGACACGTTAAAAAGGCTCATTAGAAAAACAATGGAACACGGATATGCGTTATTCATTATCTTTAAATTTTAAAGATATTTTAAACCAGCTGTGTCGCCATACGCACAAGCATCCTTCATAAAGGAGGTGTTTATTGCGCTAATTATTGGTCCCGCCTCCAAGCCCTAACCTGTGGCGAAAACCAATCCGATGAAAGAAGGCGTGGCTTGGTTTCCTCGGCAACACTCCCGTGGCTTTGTGCCGTCAGCTCCGGCGTGGGGGAAGTTGCTAGGCAACACCAGGCCTACCTAGCTTGAGCCCGCTCCCTGCGTCTAATAGACCTGCAACCGGGGCAGGGGTAAGATCGGAGTGGGCGCTGCTCGGCCTCTCGCCCGAGACAAGCAAGAACCGTCCTGCTACGGTAGGTGAGCACGTGGGATGGAGGCGGAGGTAAAACCGCAAGCGAGTCAGAGTCTCTCCACTCAACCACAAGCAAAACTGGGGGAGTAGGAGGGCGGCGCGAAGGCCTGGAGGGGCGGATCTAGTCTCGGCTTCCCGCCTTGGAAACGCTGCGGGGAAGAGCCTGGCTTAGACCCGGCGCTAACGGTGTGCAGGTTTTAAAGAAGGCGCTTGGCTGTTGCTTTCCCCCAGAAATCAGCGCTAGACCCCTGCTCTCCGTCGCAGGACGGACTGAGGTCCAGGAGGGCAGTTGCTGCTTAAGGAGCTGTTCTTACACGATCATGATGATGTAACCCAGGCATGCATATCTGATTAGGAATAGGCCCTCTCGAACGCAGTGGCATCTAAGTACGGTAGAGAATACGCTGCTTGTTTGCTCAACCACCAAGCTGCAAAGTAGGCTACCCGTCTCTTTAGGGAGAAGGGCCGGGGCGGGGCGCATTTGTTAAAGTTACAGTTTGTATGAACATGGTCATAGTTGATTTGCTTTTGATAATGCATATATCATGTAAATGATAAATGGGAGTTCTGGATCATTAAAGACAAATGTATTTTCTGCATATCTGCAAGGAATATAGTTATTGCTAGTCCATGCATCTGTTATTTACAAGTAGAACATTGTGACTATTGTAACTACTGTACATTGTAACTCTCAGAGTAGCATTTCTGAGAGAAGAGTATGCCTGTCCCTCAAGAGAAAGTCAGTCATGCCATCAATAGCTTTCCCTCTTTCATTTAAATTAAAGCAGAAGATTTGCCTTCACTGGATCACAAGTTGAGCATATAAGATTAATTTCCTCAAATCAACAAACATGTCTGATGAAGATAATATCAGTACGTTAGCTTACACCAAGAGTCCAAAGTTCTCCAAAAGAACCACTTTTCAGGTAAAATATTTTGATTTGCACATACAAACTTTTATTCCTGATCCTTTTATGGACAAAATTAAAGTTTACGTTTACTGCATAGATCTGTCTAAAAGTTTTTTTTAATAGTTACAAAAGTTAAAAACAAAGACATGTACATGAAAAGGGTGGGTATGGCAAGTTTATACGTGATAATCTGATAGCCAGAGGCTTTTCATTGTTGATAGACTGATCACAAAAACAAGCTTGGATTTTTAAGTGGTGCAAAAGATGCTGCAAAAAGTGTGCTTCTGTTGTAACGATTATTTCTGTAAAATTTTAATGTTCTGTTTTATTTACTGAGAGTGCAGTCCTATCACACTGTACCCTTGATACAGTTAAGCTCCCAGACTAGGAGGTCTGTATGCATCCAGTGGCCAGAGTGAGGCATGGTGCTACCAGTCTCTACCACACCTTGTCCCATGCATGTTATCTGTGCATGTTATCTAGCTGCCCAAAATTGGCTAGCTCTTAAGGTGCTTGGAAAGGAAAAAAGAGCGGGCACTGATAGGCAAGCCACAGAGAATTCCCCTTTCCCCCTCTGAGGTATAATTGCATGCTCAGCAAGGCAGCTGGCATGGTTCTTTCTGTCCCAGCTGGTAGGAGAATGGGGGTGATCTCAGATGTCAGAGTTCAGCAGTAAAGTTGCAGGCCCTCAGTGTGGGGACTTCAAAGAATCCTCTGACCTTTCAGAGGATGTTGGGAGCTCATAGGATTGTACTGTTAGCCTCAGGATAACTTACTAACTTTACCTGGTTTTCTTTCAAATTGCTTCAATCACAAAATACAGAACCATAGCATAAAAATAATTTTACAGCCTTAACCAACATGGCAAATATTCTAGCAACCATACAAAACTTTATTCAACCCCATAACACATAGTCAAAGCATAGGCTGTGCATGTTTCCTAAAAGCCAAGAGTGTCTGCATCTCAAAGGACTCATCCATATCACTGAAACAACTGCCAAAATGATCTCATTCTGTTATATTCTAGTTTGACTTTTCTTGAGTGCTACTTTGTAACCTAAAATGCAGATAGTACAGATTATGACAATGTCTACAGTGTGCAAGTCCCTGACTAATAACTGTGTTTCCAACAGTTGAGTGGGACTATCAGGGACAGGACATTTTGGAGGGCATTCATCCATAGGGTTGTCATAAGTTGGAGGTGTCTTGTCAGCACATAACAACAACAGTTTGGTAATACCTGTACATTATTAATCATCATTTATGCATATCATAGTACCCAAAACAGAGATCAGAAGGCATAATTACTAAAACCAGGTTAGTTCTAAGATAAGCTATGCTTGAATTGATACTTAAGTTTTCAAAAACATTTGAGTTATTATACACAGATTTTTGTTCGTTCAGATAATATTTGCAATGTATTTGCATATTTTAGGAAGAGCTACAAGAAGCACTTCTTGCTCGTGCAGCACGACAATCTGCTGAATATTCAGAAGATTTTGAGAGTGATGAAGGAGGTATAGTGAATAACAAAACACCTTAGAATAACATTTCTGTATGTCCTATTGATCTGTTTCATAAATAACAGATCAATAATTATATGCAGAATGATTCTAAGCATGTCTACTTAGAAGTAAAAGTCTCACTGAGTTCAGTGAGGTATCTTTCTACTGAGTATGCTCATGGGTAAGGTTTACAGCCATAAAGTATTCTCCATGCAGTTTAATCACAGAGCTTTCATTGATGTAGATCAAAACTTTTATTTCATCTCAGAAACTAGTGAAATTCCATCAGTTTTTTTTCCATCCATCCACAAAGAAATAATGAAGTAGCACTTTCCATGGAAGAAACTTGCCTTTTATGAAAAACAGTGGAACCTACAATAAAGGGCTCTGATGTGCCCACTGAACATGCTCCATCTTTCTTGGAATATTTTTGGGTTGGGGGAGTGGGGCAGGAAGGGTACTCCTGAAACCTTGTAGTCCCTAACAGTCCTATTAAAAATTCCCTTTTTTAATGTGAGCATTTTAGCTCCAAAAGGACTGGCACTCTGAGAATTTCTGTTAACATATACAGTGGTACCTTGGCTCACAAACTTAATCCATTCCAGGACTCTGGTTGTGACCCAAATTGATCGTGAGCCAAGTTAAATTTCCCCATAAGGTTCAGTGTAAATAAGGTTAATCCATTCTGTAACTTTTTAAATCAGAAAAATGTGAAGCAAAGTAACAAAGAACAACAAAGATCGCGGCCATCTCCCCCTCCCCACCCCAAGCACAAGCGCAGCCATATACCCGCCCCCCCAGCATGACCAAGATCGCACCCATCATCCCTGCACGTGCCCGTCATCCCGGCACGCTGAGATGAGGGGGGAGACAGGTGCAATTACGGGCGCACTGGGGGAGAGAGATGGGCACAAAAGGGCATGCTGGAGGGGGTGGAGACAGGCGCGATCGTGCTGGCAGGGGGCGGAGATGGCCAAGATCGTGGTTGAGTTTGTGCAGGAAAGCTGGGAACAATCACGGGCGCGCTCCTGCAGGAAAGCTGGGCGCAATCACGGGCGCAATCTCAGCCATCTCCCCCACACCACCCCCAGCACTATCACAGCCATCTCCCCACTCGGGGGTGGGGAGATAGCTATGCTCATGCTGGTTGGGGAGGGAAAGATAGCCGAGTTCGTGCCCGTCTTTCCTGCATGAGCGCACCCATGATCACGCAAGTCTTCCCTGCACGAACGCAAATGGGGGGGGGGGGGGGAGATGGCTGCGATCTCGGTCGCCACCCGATGTGGAGTTCGCAACATTTGATTCTTGTATTGCATGTATACTATGACACTCTTCAAATTTCTTTTGTGGTTGCTTGTTTTTCACTCTACTTTTTTTTTCTTTTTAGCCACTATTGTAATTTATATGCCACCTTAAAAGTTATTTACTAAAAAGCTACCAAGGTGGTAGATATTTGTCTTTTTTTAACTGGATTTAGTTGGCTCAACATATGTTTCCAGTTTAGTTTTGCTATATTATTAATGCCTTCAGGTTTTGGGCATTTAAGTCGGATATGTTTTTAAATGTTCATTTATGTACATAGATTGAACAAGTTCTTTGAATTGCGATATACCACATTTGGAAAATCGCTTCACATAAGGTTACATACGGCTTCAGGGGGAAGCCAGAAAATGGAGAAGGACACACACTGTTTATGATTGGTATAACACAGCCTGAGAATGTGTCAGAAGTAAATACACATGTCAGAATTATGTTTTCAATTGATACTGCTTTCTTGTACTTTTTATATATCAAATGCTCATCTAATCTGTTTTAGCTACTGATGAAGAGTTTCCTGAAACTGTGGAAAACACCCCAAAGAAATCAGTTGGCTTTACACTACCAGTATCCAAGTATAATCTTTTTAATGGGAGCACTTTGAAAACGGAAAGTGCAAATGACTTGTCTTCATCAGATGAAGATGAGAGACCTCAATACGTGTCCATGCTGGAGAGAGATGTTTTGAGCGAAGAGAGGCAAGCTATCCCCTTTTCCTTAACTGAACATTCTGGGTCGTGTGAAAGGAATGCAGCAAAAAAATCTGTTCCATTTGAAATATCACTGCTAGATCATTCCTCTTTCAAGAAAGAAACTGATGATGACTTGGCCCTGCCAAAGGATGAAGAGAGACCACAAGAAACAACCATGCTGGAGGGTAAACATCTAAGTGAAGAGGTGCAAGAAGATGACTCAGTTTCTGAAGAAGGGTCAGGTTTTGAGGAAGATCAAGAGGATGAGGCGCCTGTGATTGAACTGCATTTGGAAAGGGATGATATGGCTCAGGAGAAACCTGAAATCAAGCCAGTGCCAAAACCAAGGGAATTCAAGACCAAAACAGCATCAGCATCAGGTAAAGCATGTCTGTTTCAATTTTCCTGCTTGGACTGTGTACTTTTCTGATTTTTCAAATTACAGCAGGACCCTTGTATCCATGCAGATTGGTTCCAAGCCTGAAACCATGGACAATAACGAACAGTCTATTATGCAATATGTACATTTCTTTTTTCACATTTTCACTTGCTCTTATCTCAGCATAAGATTTTTTCCTTTTCCTATTAAATCAAGAATTTTCACTTACAGGAAGCACTTTACAAGTTATCTCTGGCATTCTCTGGCACTTTATGATTTCTCTTTCAGGAATTAACTGCAGTTAACTGAAAATGCGCTAACTGAGCCAATGGATACAGGGATCCTGCTGTACAACAGTTGTTGCATAGATTGTTGTATCTTTTAATCATCAAAACTTAATGGGCTCTTTAGAATCTGTATTTTAAAAATCTGTAATGTCAGTAAATGTTTTTCCCATTTGACAGGTGGTGTATTGGTAAATCATATTCCAGGGTAAAATTTAGGCTGCATGTGATTGTACTTTATGCATATTAAAAATAACCATTTTGTGGTTAGATATGATGTTGAACTGCAAATACAGCACAGGTGTTTGGCTCCTGAATGCCATGCACTGTTTTTAGAACTGTACATTCTGAAGAGCATTACATCTATTGGATAAGAGGACTAGTGCCAGTTACCATATCATATGGTAACTAGCACTAGATTTGCTGGAAAAATGACAAAAGTACATGCAAAATGTTAGGCAGGCCTTATGGGATTTTTGGCTTTATTTATTTGAGTAGCAGTCCCTCATGCTGTATTAGAACATATTTTTGAGAGTTTCTTTGGTCTTAGAGTTGGTTTTCTTGCTGGTATAAAAAGGTGTTCTTTCAGAAGTACAAGCCCAGAACTTCCTTAGGCACTCAGAACTTATGCTCTTTAGATCCAGGCAAGGTTCTTGACTTGTAGCAGAAGGGGAGTCCCAGCAAGTTTTTAGTGTAAGTGTTTTCCCTTTGGCAGAAGACTAGATTAATTCTATACAGCTGTAGACCAAATGCTACAACTGCTAAGGGAATTGTGCTGTTCATAGTTTTACCAACAATAGTTGATGAATTTTAGAAAATGATTAGATATCTTAATTTTATACACACTAAAGTAACCTTCTTCAGCCTGATATCCTCCAGGTATTTTGGGCTTCAGCTCTTAACAGGTCAGCCAGTGGCCAATTTATAAATGAGCAAAGTTGCAGTCTAAAACTTCTGTAGAGCACCAAATTGGGAAAGGCTTCACTAAAGCTTACAGTGCTTGTTTAATTTCTGAATTAATTATTAAGCAAAAGCTCTGAAATTCCAGATCCTTAGGCCAGCTATGTGGGTCAGAGTGTAGCTCCTCAGTGGGAGGGAAATGTATATGTCCAAATGCACTGTTGTTATTACTAAGTTTATTCTAGGGCAGATTTGTCACTGAATATAAGTGCTGGCTTAAATTGACTTTTGTACTCGTATAATGGTGAAGTATAGAGACAAGAGGTTATGCCGTTTTAAAATACTGACCTCAGCAACAGCATAACAGTAATGCTGGGCTTGTATTTGTTTTTTCCCCTTTGTAGCATATGCGTAAACTACTGTCTTTGTAGTCTGTTATAAGCATTGCAATAAGTACTGCAACTGCTCTGATAAATGGTCCTACTCATGACACCAGAAAGCACTTAAGAACAAAAGACAGTGTAAACCTGTAAAAGTCAGCACTTTGTGGAAGTTTGATATACTGAGACAAAACAGGCCTCAATTCATGAATATTTTGTCTCTCAGTAATCCATAATCTACATTGCACAAGGAACTAATTGCACACTACATCATTAAGGTTATAGGCTGACTAATCTGCTTGGTTTTTTGCTCCACTCACTGGCAGCATAGTCAAATATAGTTCTTTCAACATGCTATTTTAAGTTTTTTTTGAAGATCTATATGTTTTGAGTTAAATATTTGGAGCTGAACCATTCTTTTAATTTTTGGATCAAAATATACCAAAACTCTAAGCAAATTAAATTCAAAATGAAATGTTTCAATTTTTAATGTGTGTCTTGGTTACTAATACTAGCTCCAAGATTTTACAGAAGTTCCCCTAGGCAGATTTTTAAGGTTCCAGGGAACTATGCCACTGAGCAGTCCCCAGGCTTGTCTTAATTAGGAAAAGCTCCACTACCTGACTAAATTAGCACTTAGAGTACCTCCACACACATGCGTGTACACACACACAACATTCAGGATATTTTACTGGTAATGATCCCACCCATGCCTTTTGTCATACTGGGCTGGTTAAAAGAATATGAGAGATCTTTCCATGATTTAGCTTACTTGGGTCAGTTGTGTCAGCAAGGACTAAACTGGGAATATGATTATGGGAACAAGAAATTCAGCAAATTAATTTCATGAGCCTTAGAAAATGTGGTTTTTTGAACACTTTTAAGGCTTTGAAGATTGAAATCTATAGAAAAAGTATAGAAAACTATTTAGTAAATACCAACAAAAAGCCTGACAATGACAGCACATTGTTATTCACAGTTGTGGAAACAATTTTCCTATTATGAGAAATTATCAGTATTATAGTTGGTATATACTGCAACAAATTTTCCAAACTGGACCCTGATTAAGAAAATAGTATCCATTATGATTATAATGTATGATCCAAGGGAAAAAAATGACAAATTCTTCATGCCTTATGTCACTTATTCAGTAATTTCTCAGACTGAAATAACTGCTACACCTAAAAGCAACAGGATCAAATTGGAATAAGAATCCTTTCCCCATAAAATAGTTTGAGTTAATTATTGTCAAATCATTTTGCTAATTTTTAAACAAAGGAATTAGGCATGACCTTGGGTAAGTTATACAAATATTTCTGCTAGAGATTAGAGATCAGAATTAGGTTCTAGTGAATTAAGAATTGGAGTTGATTAATATTCTCATGGATATTTGAAGTGCATTCCTAGTTTTTGCTTAAAAGAGTGATATTAAAAAACTGTTGAATAACAAAAGATGTTAATGCCATTTGTCAGTAACATTCTTTGTATTTTTATAAGCTGAGAATATCAGCATTCCTGCACTGTATGATTATTCAAAGCCATCTCCTCAGCCCAGGAGTGTTTTGAGAAAAAGTAGCCATGTGGAAGACTACGAGGGAACCAAGGCAGAGGATAGAGCATCATACAGCCGCAGATCATTTTCATTGTCTGCACCATCTTCTAAAACAAGCCTAAATAATCAAGTGTTGAAATTTGAAAAAAGAGCACTTTCGGAAAGTCCTGGTCCTGAGGTTAGCAAATGATTTTAAACTCTTCTAAACTGACAAAGCAAAGTACTTCTAAGAAAGGTTGCTGGAGAATTTCACTTGGTCTGTATTTTTAAGTTAACTGATGTAATTTACACTTTACAGATAAATGGATTGGGGCACAGTTATCCTTTGCACTGCACACTTCTGAATATTACAGTATAGTTCTCTGCCCAACAAATGAATACAAAGTGCATACACTAGGAGAGATCAGTGCATGCTTAGTTATCTTTCCTTGAAATTAATGGGAACTTTTAGACAGATGAGGCCTAAAGTATTGTATAATTGCAGAATAGGTTTTTAATAGTGAAAAATGTAATTTAACAAAAACAAGCTGGAAACTGATGTTATTAGTTATATATGTACATGTTTGCAGGAGTAAAATCGTTGCACATTGGAACAACATCTCAAAAATAATATTCTCATTTATACAGCTCTTAGCAGTAATCAGGAGGGAAATTCTGGCTAAGAACACAGTGAAGCATTATGCTGATAAAACCAGCCCAGAGCAAGGGCTCTGTATGTATGTTAATTAGCACATTTGTAGAGTAAGTGTAGTATATTAAAATCAGGAAGCTCAATTTTACTATAGACTTCAGATAGACTAAATCTTACTCTATTCCTTTTAGCATTTATTTGTGGGAAGTTTGTTTGCTGTATATAGGGCATCCTTTGAAAACAGCCAAAATTCTGAGTGGTTTGTCTTGACCATATTATAACAAGTAATTATGTTGTTCCCTGTTTTCTGTTGAGCCTAGTTCTAGGTGCAATTGCTTTGTTTTATTTATTACATGTTTACACCACCTATGGCCCTGCAGGGATCTCTGAGCAGTGAACATGTACAGAACTAGTTTAAAACATGTAACAGTAAAACAACTGTTTATCGCTTCTAAAGCCATAAACAGCTTGTGGGTCAGAATACCTAAACTACAAGCTCCTGCCTACTGCAGGTAACATTTGATGTATTTGATGAAGTGGATTCTGGGCCATAAAAGTTAAGTCTGGGAAATCACAAGAGTCTTTGTTTTTCATCCAAGGGCCCATGGATTACAAGCTCTGCATCTCCATTCCCTATTCATTTTTCATCGCTGGATGAGAGAACTGGAGATTCCAACTTGGCAATACCTCATGAAGAATCTTCAAAAGGTAAAGTATATTGATTATATAATATTTTTGGAAACGTTGAGAATTAAAAGTTTATCTTTTGGCTGGGAGGGGCAAAATTGGAACCATTTATGGTTTTATGCAATAAAAATCAACAGACTGACTGAATGTAATAGATTCTCAATAGCTGCAACAATGGACTGGATGAGGGCTAACGGAGTGAAGGTCAGTACAAACAAGACTGAGATATTGTTGATGGAGAATTCCTCTCACCAGATGGAGGGTGTTCAGCCTATTCTAGAGGAGCTCCACTTCCCCTGAAGAAGCAGATTCATAGCTCGGGGTTTCTTCTTGATCTGTCTTTGTCACTTGAAGCTCAGGTGGCTCAGTGGCTTGGAGTACTATCTTGATAGACATAGTCTGATTTCAGTAATCTATGCCCTGGTGTTATCTAAATTAGATTACTGCAATACACTGTACACTGTGCTGTTCTTGAAGACTATTCTGAAGCTGCAGCTTGTGCAGAATGCAGCAGCCAAACTAATAACTGGAACCCATAGGTCCAGACACATAAGCCAGTTCTGGACCGCTTGTACCAACTGCCTCTTTACTTCTGAGGCTAATTCAGTGCTGGTTTTAACCTATAAAGCCTTACGTGCCTTGGGACTGCAATACTTGCTGGAGCACCTCTCCCACTCACAGTCTGTTCAGATATTATGCTGCACTTACTGGGTTTCTCTCCAAGTGCCAACTCAGAGGGAGGCTTGGGGGTGGCAAAAGATGGAGAGCTTTCCTTGTGTTTCCCCCTGCCCCCACCACCCAGTTTATGGAACAAGCATCCTACTGCAGCCTGCCTGGCATCAATCTTGTTATCTTTTCAGTGCCAGGTTAAGATGACCTTTTATGTTGAGGCTTTTAAAGATTTGCTTGGCTACCCAGGAACATGAGGGGATTTGCTATTGCAGAGGCTTTTGTTTTACATGTTCTTTTTTTCTTTCTTTTTTTTTTTTTTTAGTTTTTGCTGGTTAAAATTTTTAATGATTCTTTGATTTTATTGTATTTGTACTGTACTCTTTATTGTCATGTTGTTATGGATTGCTGTAAACTGTCCAGAGAGTTATGGCTATGGGGTGGTATAGAATGTATAAATCAATGAATGTAATTAGTGACTCTGTAACATTACTGATGATGATGAAATGATATTCATTGAAATGAAATTCATTTCTATATTGCCCCATAGCTGAAGCTTTTTGGGTGGTTTACAACAATGTAACCTTGCATTTTCATAACAAGTTGGACAAATCAGAGAATATGATAAACATGTCAAGTTTTAAAATGAATCTGTCTGAAAAGTTTTGAGAAATATATAACTTTTTCTGTTTTGCATCATTATTTAACATACCTTACCTCTTACAATTAATCCTGATGGAAGCTTATGAGGCTCCAGATAAATTATCCCATCCCCTTCCTTCACTAACCTTACAAGGCTTCACTACTTTTCTTTACATTAGAGGATGAACCAAAAGAAATGGATAACTGCAATGATCTCAGATTGCAGGAGAGTGGCAGAGAGTCTCCTTCTGTGATAGAACTTATGATGACAACAGTTTATGAGAAAAATAAGAAAGCACACAAGTCAACTGAAGATTATCTAGAAGAAAAGCTACAAGCGTTAGAACATAGTGCCACTGAGGATGGACCAAATGTGAAAACAAAGGATGATAAATCAGAACAGAAGGTCACTCTAAATATTTCAAAGAGTGTTCTTGGAGCTTCAAAGGATTCAGTAAAGGTACATACTGGCAGTGAGAATTAAGATTGTCATAAAGTGGCAGGGGAAATCATACTATGCATACATGCACACATTTATACATTTAGGTATGTTGTTTACACAGCTAATGGCTTGTAACTATGTTCTGCTGGCATTAAGCCAGAAAACTCCACATTTGGTATCTCTTTCATTTGAGATTAGGTTTTGTTTCCTTTCATCCCACTCTAAATATATATTTAGAACAAAGTACTAAAGGATGGAGACCTGTTGCTACTAGGTGTGCAAATATAGGCTTGGATATATAGGCTGAAGATTTGGAAATAGAAATAATTTCTTCTTGTTCAGTGGGAGGTCACTGCTCTTCTCTTGGCCATATATATGTAGTCCTTGTATACTCTGTCTCCCATCCTCTGAAGGTTTGCCCAATCCTTTAGGCCTTTGAAGGAGTATAAACTGGCAGGAAGGAGAATTGTATTATGCCACTTTCCCTGATCCTTGCTATCATTTGGTTAATATTTAACACGTTTTCATCATTGCCTTTCTGAGTAATCATATACCATTCTGCACACCCAAGATCATAGAACGGGTGCTGTATACATATGTTTTGCTAGGTTACACAGCCAATTTTCTTTTTGGATTTGGTTTTATTAGGAGGAAGGTGAAGAAAAAGCATCCATTCAGCAAAAGTCAAAATCTTCAATAAGCAGGTAGGAAATTCTAACTTGAAATGAAAGTTCTTTAGAAATACGAACTGCATCATATTCCCAAAATTCAGTTGCCAAACTACACTGATTTACCTACATTGTTGACAACCCTGGATATGACTGTTGTGGGAAAGTAACATAAATTTTAACAGCACACAAAGCCTAATTTTAATGTACAGACCACAAATGGCAAATTCTACCAACTTAACTGAATCAAGTGACACATGATTCTGTGCCAGTGTTCAGAGTTAGATTCTGATATTTGTGAAGTTTTAATAACTGAGTGATTGAAATAGTTGTGCTTTTGAAATCACATACTGTAGTTCTTGTTAAACAACCGCATTTGTCATTTGCTTGTCTTTGCGGTACTATACATTTCTTTGTTGTTTTTGGTGCAGCAGACAGCAAAACCAGATATCTCTGGAAATTGAAATAGTTAACTTACTTCATTTTTAAAAGAAGTAATATCAGTGGCTATAGTTTTAATGAATTTTGCTACCATGAAAATTTCACTTTTCCTTTACATACATTTTTTTACACTGAAAAGTCATCTTAGAGTCCATCCTAGACTTCAGATGGTACGAATATAAAAGCATAGTTTTCTTTAGCTCTTTAAAACATGTAAATAATTTTCTACTCCATTTTTCACTTAAAAGTTCTTGAATTGCTGACAAACTGAAGGGGAAGATCCAGGTAGAATACATCAGCTGTGGGGTGGTTAGAAAGGGGGTGGGGTGGTTAGAAAGGTCTGTACTAATACTAAATATTAGAATGAAGCTTTGGGAATCCCATTCTTACAAGTAAGCTACAGATTTCTTAGAAAAACTCCTTAACTGAGGTAACATAGGTACCTTCACCTATGCTGGCCAAGAATTCTTCATTCTTCATTTCCAGGGATATAATCAGTCTTTGAACCTGGAAACTTGGGGTCATTCCCCCCCCCATGGAATTTTATGAGCTCATTTCTCTATATAAAACACATTAGACCTGGGCTGCACGACTTTTTCTATTTCCAGGGCTGCATGAGGATTTGGACATGGAACCCAGGGGCCACACAATGAATTACATTTCCATATTTTGATTGATGATGATTTTAGGACTTAGGACTATAAAAAAATGCTTTGTGGGCCTGTGTTCAACAGGCTGGTCCTTCTCCAGCCACAGCACAAGCACAATGACTATTCCTCTGGGGTGGGCCATCCTTTTCTTCCCTGTTTCTCCTACTCAGAAACCTTCCCATGTAATTCCCCCCCCCGCCCCCCAGGCGTTACTACCTTCTCGGAATTGGGGCACTGAGCCTCTTGTACTTGAGCCAACAAACTCTCCCCAGCATGCTTGGGCACTCCTGCAGGTGGGTAACCGGGGACAGGGGGGACTCCAAGCAGCAAGAGAGCCATAGAACAAGGCCTTGGGGGCCCATGGGTCACGTGTTGGACCACCCCTCATTATACTCTGGATGTAATCCTTCTGATACTTGAGTCTTGGAGTTGACCAGGGCTTAGCCATATGGAAGTATTTTAAGGCTTTGTATATTTTCTGACTAAAAGAGGGGACTTTTTTCATTTATATTAGCTTAAACATTTTATTTTACAGATCTTTGAGCTCTACGTACTTGAAGAAAACTGGGAAGCAGTCTCCTATCCCAACAAGTACTTCTTCTCAGTACTTAGGAACATTAAAGGTCTTAGACAACAAGCATTTACAAAAATACAGTGCTGAACTTGATAAAGCAGACAGTTTACGAGCAGCTGTTTATCAGGTAGCATTCAACACAGTTTGGGGTGTAATTCTATCAGTTTTGTCCACAGTGCTTATAAGTGCTTGAATTCAAGGGTTTACAAGCATCCAGTGCAGAGTAGAATGAGCAGTTGAAGCCATCCCCATTTTCCTGTACCTCCTTTTTTGTATTTTAGCCATATTCAGCTGTCTGCTTGAAGCACTTGGAAGGGAAAGGGAAGGAAAGCTGGAGCACTTTCAGGATACAATATATCCTGACAGCCCCAATCTCCTGCTCTCCTTATCCCTTTTGCCTCCCTCTGTGGTCACGCTCCTAGCCTCAGAGAACCATCCTGCCTGGAGTTTTCCATGCTGGTTGCAAGTGCAGGGAGGAAGTCAGAACATAGATTTCCATCTCTGAAGGTTCTCTCTGACCTCAGATCTGGAAATTCAAATTATCCGGTGGCCTCCCAGAAGACAGCTAGGGGCAATCCTGTGCAAGTTCAGAAAGAAATAAGGAATGAGGCAAACTGGAAGTTTGTAGTTTTTCTGTATAAACCTGCATAGGATTGTGGCCTTAATTATGTAAGAAGCCATTAAGAATGTTTCCTTATTAGCTTAGAATAGCATGAATATCTTCAGTTCTACAGTCAGTTGTTCATAAAACACATGGATAAAATAATATATTTCACTGTGCTGAAAAATGGTATGAGACAGAGTACATAGTTTCCTTTCAATGTTTTGTCCTTTGCAAATGTATTCACATTTATTTCATGATATTCAGATTGTTTAGTCTATAGGAGAAGGCTTTGTGCTGAACTTCACTCAAGCAACCAGTTCAGAAAAGTTAGCATATGTCTAAGGCATGTTTTGATCCCAGTGCAAAAATCCTGTTCTCACATAATCAAATTATACAAATAGCATAGGTACCCTGCACATAGAAAACAAATGCTGGTGGTACTGGTCACAATAAATTTGATGAAATAAATAATCAAATTCTAAAGATTGCCTATAACTCTGTGTAACATCTTTTGTTTTTCTTTCTTAGGACTGGTTGGAAAAGAAAAGAATCTTCCTGTTAGAGCTACAAAGAATAAAAAGAAACAAAGCTGAGAGCTTGCGGGATAAAAATGAAAAGGTTTGTGTTTTTTTTTTCAGTGAATGGATCTAAAGGAACTACTTATAGGACATAACTGCAATGTACTGAATGCTATAAACTTTGTACACAAATGTTCTGAGTTTGACATCTTTTTTGTTCTTACTATTGTGTATTAAAATAACACCTTTGTGACTGCCTTCCTATATGCACATACATGGATTTAAGACCTATTGAACTCCATGGAACTTGCTCCCAGAAGACAGAAATAGTATCTCTGCCATAGTGTGGAGGCCTTAAGTTCACCTTCTATCCTAGTGATCCTGTTCTAGAGCTCTGGGGAGGAGGAGTCCTCAGTCTTTTCAGTGACTTAGGAGTCAAGTCAGGGAAAGGGAGTGTGTGTTGTGTGGCCCCCCAACCTGCCCCCCCCATGCTGCATATGATCTTTAGGGGCAAAAAGTTGCCCATCCCTGCCATATGGAAATAGTAATTAATAATGCTATTACTTTACATATATTTTTTGCCCAGTTTTTCTAAGTCGAGACTGTATGGATAATGAAAACTCCAACCACTTTTCCAAAGCTATTTATCTTCTTATGTAGAAAGAAGCTGCTAAAAAAGAAGAAGCACTTGCATCCTTTGAAGCTTGGAAGGCTATGAAACAAAGAGAAGCAAAGAAAATGGCTGAGAAAAAAAGGTTGGAAGAGGCAAAGAAAAAGGAAGAAGCAGAACTAAATGAAAAGAAAAAGGAAGAGGCACAAAAGGCAGTGAGAAATTTCTAGCTTGCAAAACATTAAAGCTGGGAAAGGACCATGTGTCAGTTTTGCTAGAATGAACATCTAGCAAATGTTCATTCTACTCTGCATTTTTGGTTCATTTAAATTAGCATAGAATTCTCTATATGTTCAATCTATTGAATAAGATAGCCTTTGCTTTCTGCATGCTGAACAGCAGCATTCACTATAGAGTTAAATCAATAACGCTTTAGTGAGTTATTCAGCAAGGGTCAATTTTAATCTGAGGCTGAAAGTTAGGAGTATCCTAACTGGTCTGTTACTGTAATGGAAAATTTAAAAAGTTAAAGAAATAGGGAAGAATATTTGGAAACTGCAGTAAGTGCAAAATACAGTAACCTGATTAGTAAGAAGGAGCGAATTATAATAGTTTTGGAACAGTTAAACTGCTGTTCCATTTCAAGACAAAACTGAAAATAAAACTGTCTTTAATTGCTGCAATGTGTTATATTTTAATGGTTTTATCTTCTAAGCCTTTCTCAGAGCCATGCTGAACATTGATTTGTAAATTGCTTTGGTAAATAAGGTGTCCTTTCCTTCTGAAAGCGTTAGGTTTATTTGCTACACAGTAAATTATTATCAATGATATTGATACTGCCTATGCACATTTAATCAACTAGTTAATTGACTGGTATAAAGCAGATGATCAATAAGCCAGAAATTTTTTTACTCGCTTGAGAACCATAATCAAAGCTCCTAATGGACTTGCTTCTTTTTTTTAGGCTTTTGAGAAATGGAAAGAAAAGAAAGCAGAGTATTTAAAACAGCAAATACGAAGAGAAAAAAGAATTGAAAGGTTAAAAAAGAAGAAAGAAGAGGAGATTGTTGCAGAGAAGAAAAAAGACAGCAGGTCTGCTGTTGAAAAATGGTACGGTCAATTAACTTTTAATTGTATATAGCATTATAGGAAGTACACAGGGAGTTACTGATACTGAGTAAGCAAACTGGCTCATCTAGGCCAGAGGTGTTGACATTGACTGGCACACTTCTCCAGGTTTCGGAGTAACTGTTTTTCTAGCCTGCCTGCCTGGAGATGCCACAGGTTGAACCTGGGACCTCCTCATTTAGAACAGGTGCTCTGTCAGTGAGCTGTGGTCCTCCGCTATGCAGTTAACTGAGTCTAGCAATTTTAATCATAGAAATGAATCTATTTGGAAACAGCTTTGTGTTCAAATTTTGGTATTGTTTGTAATACTTAATTCAAATGCATACATTTGCATCCTGTTATAAAATATTGACTCTTCAATTTTTAGGAATGAGAAAAAAGAAGAATTCATGAAGCAAAAGAAAAAAGAAAAAATCCAAGAAAGGAAAAAGCAAGTAGAAGATCTAGTTGAAAAGCAAGCAAAAGATAAAAGAGCTATAGAGGAATATGAAAAGTGGCTAGTAAGTGTATGTGTTTTTAGATAATATACAAAGCTTGGCATACAGCTTGACATTCAAGTTTATGTGTAAACTCTAAATGCATAAAGATGACCAGGAGGTGGCAGTAAAATCTTACTATCTTCCTGTCAGGCATCATATGTAACATTTGACATTATACAGACATATTTATGTTCACCAAAATAAGATACCCTTTAGATGATACTGAGAAAATACACTGAAATAAGTTTTGCACTTTTTCAGAATCTCTAAGAATGGTGCATCGCAGGAATGTGCTTGTACATTCCAGCAGAGTTCAATGGCTTGCTGCTGTGATGAAGGATAGTGAAAGAGAACTATACATGATAGTTACTAAACTGTATTTAGCACTGCACAGACAAGTAATCTTTTATAATCTTAGATCTAAATATCTACTGATAATTTAGAAATGAATAACAATCACATAAGGACCAAATTAAATGTGATGCTAAATGTGCATTTTGGTGTTGTGTATCAGTTCACAACTGTAAATAACTGCCACCAAGGAGCCCAAGCAAGGTTCTGGAGAGGGGAGGGCAGGGGGTTAATTTTCTCCCCTTCATACTTGAGGCACTATGCAAGTTTCAGTGCTGAACTTGTGTTAACAAAAAAAACAAAAACAAAAAACAAAAACACTAGCACAGGTGCTAGTAGTGGCTAGCACAACATAGTCCAAATAAACACTTCCAGATTTGGGCAAGTCAGTGATGTCCTCTTTTCTGAGCTCCACTGATTTCACCTATTCCTGAAGCACTAATTTGGGCTAGTTTCTTGCTGTGCTAATAGACTCTGTCTCCTTGTTGTGTTCACGCTCATTTCTGCTTGTGCTGTAGCTGCCTTGGTGAGCACCATGTGATCCATGAAACTACTGTTAGGTATGGGAGTGAATTATCCATTGATGCCATGGGAGCTTTTCTCCCATGCCAGATAGCACTGAGAGGGAGAAGGATATTCTATTATGGGGTGCACTCCTCCTTACCTGCCACAATCCTAATCCTGTTTGAGGGTCTAGAAGCTTCTATTTAAAGTTTTAAGGAAGGAGATACATCGCATTTAGTTTAGCCCTATCAAAACAATGAAATATGCATGAACTAATTAGACTTAAGAATGTAAGAAAGGGCCATGCTGGATCAGACCAGTGGTCCATCCATTCCAACACTGGTGGCAAACCAGCTGTACACATAACCCTTCAAGCAGGGTGCATAAAGACCCTGCTCAGACTCCCCAGCAACTGGTATATGTAGGCATGCTGCTTTTGGTAATGGAGGTACCCCATGACCAGCAAGACTAGTAGCCACTGATTGCCTCCTCCTTGTCCATGAATTTGCCTATTCTGCTTTTAAAGTTTTCTGGCTTTCCCTAGATTCACAAAGACACACTCATACCTGGTTCTTTGATTCACATTTTTAAGTCTTTTCTCCAGTTACGATATTATACACTTGCTTTTTAGTATAAGGGGAAATCAACTGTTTCTATAGAGCCAGATAGCTGCCTCAGAAAAATCTTGGTAAGTTTGCTGCTGTCATGATGATGGTTTCTAGTCCAGATACAATAGTCAGTAACAAGTGACAGTAGAGTCTTCTCTTCTCCTGTTCACTGTCAGGAACAGCAACTTCTGCAAGGCCATGTCATCACAGCCCAGAACCAGCAAAGTGTAGCAGCTGCACAAGTGAGTGAATGTAGATACAAGGAATCGGCTTTATAGAGGAGAATTTTCATTGCTCAGAATTGTTAGAATCTTTATAAACATTTATTATAATGTATATTAATTTGCCTTGGTAAATGTTTTGCTGTTATGCAAATCAGAAGATTATGATTAGCTACTGGGAGTTGCTTAACTCTAGGTAGTTTCACAGTGCTGTTGACAAGTACCACAGTAAGCAATACTGACCTGCAAGCCATGGCATTGACTTGTTTAGCATAACCAGAGCCAGTTGCACATTCTTCTAAAAACCAGTAAATTGTATGGTGTGTGAAAAGTAGAGAGAGAGACATTTTTCTCCCTTTCTCATTGCACTCAAACCTGAGCTCATTCTAGGAAGCTGATTGTTGAGCGGTTCAGGACAGAAAATACTCCTGCATAATACTCCTTACATAGTACATAAACTGTGTAATTCATAGTTCCACAAGGTGCAATGGCCATCAATTTAGTTAACAAAAACTAGCAATCATTGTATTTGGAATCATTTTTGACTTCAGACAAAAGTGCTTCAGGCAAGAAAAATGCTATCTACAGAAAAGTCTTTCCATTGGCTTAAATTTCCCCCCAGGAGATTTCAGTTAACCTGAGAATGGCTTTCAGCTTCTAGCAAGTACAGGTAATTGAAGGTACTGTATAATCCTTCCTGTAGCTTTGCAAAACAAGAACATCTGCATCACAATATTTGGTCCATTAACCATTTTTCTGCATAACAGTAGTCTGGCCTATTAACTTTAAAAAAAAATCATAGCAAAGCTTTCCCTCAGTAATTTTAATTCTGTTTCCTGAGGGTTTTAGCTAAGAATGTTATTCAGACTTAAAAAGAGACAAAGATGATCTGTATTGAAATCCTGTAGAGATTCTGGAGTACTTTTGGGCCCAGGCTTTATTTATTTGGACGGGGGAAGCCCAAAAAATCAATAGGCTGAAATTACAGGATGTTTTACACTAGGCACTAAGCTTTTTGTGAGAGTGTCCTGGGACTAGTCAGTAGGGCTACCTATGTGTAAATTATAGTACAGAATGTGAGCTGCAGGATGTTAGTTACTCCTGCCTGCAGATGAAGGCTATCAGGAGATTGAACAAATGCATAGAGGGTAAGGCTATCAGTGGTTATTAGTCCTGATGGCTATAGGCTGCCTCCAGTACATTTGGGCAGTGTAGCTATATGGACCAGTTGCTAGGGAACTTGGGCAGGACGAGGATGCTGCACTGATATCCTGCTTGTGGCATCCCATGGTGAGTTGGTTGGCCACTGTGTGGACACAGATCACTGCTATTGTGCCTCATTTAGGTCACAGGATGCACATAAGCCTCCAAGTTCAGGGGTTTATGTGCCTCAAAGGTGGGAGCAACAGGATTGTATTCTCCAAAAGATTTTTAGTGAATAGCTTGTATGTATTATTGTATGCCATTAAGCAACCTACACATTTTAATAAGCATGTTGGCACATGTTTTGTGATGGGAGAATTTGGAGAAGTACAATTTCCATAGATTAGTAGCATTCCAATGCACTTACTAGTCTGGAAAGTGTGAATCAGGTCACTTTTTAAATTTTGGACCATAGAAATTCTTCAAACATGGGTTTCATACTAAACTCTATTCCAAGGGACCTTTCAGTTTAAACAACCAGCCAACTCCACTGTTAATTCTCTGCTGTATTGAACTTAATCAAGCTCCAAGCATGAGTAAATTGGATCACTGAAAGAATGTAAACCAGCATAGTGTCAGACCACAACTAGGAAAACTGAAATTAAAATCCTCATTCAGTCATGAATCATACTTTGGGTCAGTCACTCTCATTCAGGCTGCATTTTTGTCAGAGTTTCTATGAGGATAATGTAGGCAGGGTGGGGGGGCATACCTCATATGGTGCCTGTGCTCTGTGGAAGAAGACTATGAAGGTAATAACAGTAATAACTTACACAAATCTCCCTTTCCCTATAATGGCCAGTGTATGCATCGGAGAAGAATAAAGGAAACAGCCAATATGTAACATTTTCCCCATTATATAAGTTATATTATGCAAACATTGATTTGGTGCTGGGAGAATGTTGGATACTGCTCAAAGGTGTCTTAACCTTTGTGGGGTCTTCCGTACACTTTCTTTTAGATGGGGCTGGATTATCATAATATGTATGGTTACTAATACAGCATCACAGTCATTTTGAGCTCTCTCAGTTAGTGTTCACTCTGCCTATGTACACACCAGCGTGGTTCATTTCAGTGATGTGAAATGCAAGTGTTAAGATTATGCTCTCTGGGGCAATACGTCAATACTGTATCTGTATTAAAATGTTATTGTGGTTGTTTGAGATCTGTACAAGTTGGGGATATATATAACTTTGAAGTTAAAAAGGGACACTCAAGTACTAATCAAGCTCTCATATACTGTACCAATGACTAATATTAATGGATAAATGTTGTTGTTAGTCGAGAAGTCGTGTCCGACCCATCGCGACCCCATGGACAACATTCCAGGTCTACCTGTCCTCCACCATCCTCTGGAGTCCATTTAAGCTCACACCAACTGCTTCAGTGACTCCATCTAGCCACCTCATCCTCTGCCGTCCCCTTCTTCTTTTGCCATCTATTGTTCTCAGCATTAGGCTCTTCTCCAGGGAGTCCTTCCTTCTCATTAGGTGGCCAAAGTATTTGAGTTTCATCTTCAGTATATGGCCTACTAAAGAGCACAGAGTTGATCTCCTCTAAGACTGACCAGTTTGCACACCTTGCAGTCCAAGGGATTCGCAGGAGTCTCCCCCAGCACCACAATTCAAAGGCCTCAATTCTTCAGTGCTCAGCCTTCCTTATGGTCCAGCTTTCACAGCCATGCATTGCAACTGGGAATACCATAGCCTTGACTATATGCACTTTTGTTGACAGGGTGATGTCTCTGCTTTTTAGTATGCTGTCTACATTTGCCATAGCTTTCCTCACCAGGAGCGAGCGTCTTTTAATTTCTTGGCTGCAGTCCCCATCTTGTAGCCCAGGAAAATAAAATCTGTCACTACCTCCATTTCTTCCCCATCTATTTGCCAGGAAGTGAGAGGACCAGATGCCATGATCTTAGTTTTCTTAATGTTGAGTTTCAAGCCATCTTTTGCGCTCTCCTCCTCCACCTGCATCAAGAGGCTCTTTAGTTCCTCTTCACTTTCTGCCATGAGAGTGGTATCATCTGCACATCTGAGGTTGTTGATATTTCTCCCAGCAATCTTAATTCCAACTGGTGATTCATCTAGCCCCGCCTTTCTCATGATGTGCTCTGCATATAAGTTAAATAGGCGGGGCGACAGTATACAGCCTTGCCAAACTCCTTTCTCAATTTTGAACCAATCAGTGGTTCCGTGTCCAGTTCTCCCTGTTGCTTCTTGACCCGCATATAGGTTTCTCAAGAGACAAATACGATGGTCTGGTACTCCAATCTCTTTAAGAACTTACCACAATTTGTTGTGATCCACACAGTCAAAGGCTTTAGCATAGTCAATGAAGCAGAAGTAGATGTTTTTCTGGAACTCCCTAGCTTTCTCCATGATCCAGCGTATGTTGGCAATTTGATCTCTACTTCCTCTCCCTCTTTAAAATCCTGCCTGTACTTCTGGTAGTTCTCGGCCCACATACTGCTGGAGCCTAGCTTGTAGGATTTTGAGCATAACTTGCTAGCATGTGAAATGAGTGCAATGGTGCGGTAGTTTGAACATTCTTTGGCATTGCCCTTCTTTGGGATTGGAATGTAAACTGACCTTTTCCAATTCCAATTTCCAAGTTTGCTGGCATATTAAGTGTAGCATTTTTACTGCATCGTCTTTTAAGATTTTGAATAGCTCAGCTGGAGTACTGTCACCTCCACTAGTTTTGTTGCTGCTCAGACTTCCTAAGGCCCATTTGACTTCACATTCCAGGATGTCTGGCTCGAGGTCAGTGACCACCCCATCGTGGTTATCAGGGACGTTAAGCTCTTTCTTGTATAGTTCTTCTGTGCAATCTTGCAACCTCTTCTTAGTCTCTTCTGCCTCTGTTAGGTCCCTGCCATTTTGGTCCTTTATCATGCCCATCTTTGCATGAAACGTTCCCTTCATATCTCCAATTTTCTTGAAGAGATCTCTGATCCTCCCTATTCTATTGTTTTCCTCTATTTCTTTGCACTGTTCATTTAAGAAGGCATTCTTATCTCTTCTAGCTATTCTGTGGAATTCTGCATTCAATTGGGTGTATCTTTCTCTTTTTCCCTTGCCTTTCACTTCCCTTCTTTCCTCAGCTATTTGTAAAGCTTCCTCAGACAGCCATTTTGCTTTCTTGCATTTCTTTTTCTTTGGGATGGTTTTAGTTGTTACCTCTTGTACAATGTTGCGAACCTCTGTCCATAGTTCTTCAGGCACTCTGTCTATCAGATCTAATTCCTTAAATCTCTTTGTCACCTCTACTGTATATTCATCAGGGATATGTTTTAGGTCATACCTGAGTGGCCTAGTGCTTTTCCCTACTGTCTTCAATTTAAGCCTAAATTTTGCAACCAGAAGCTCATGATCTGAGCCGCAGTCAGCTCCTGGTCTAGTTTTTACTGACGGTATAGAGCTTCTCCATCTTTGGCTGCAGAGCACATAGTCAATCTGATTTCTGTGTTGACCGTCTGGTGATGTCCATGTGTAGAGTCGTCTCTTGGGTTGTTGGAAAAGAGTGTTTGCTATGACCATCGTATTCTTTTGACAAAATTCTACCAGCCTGTGCCCTGCTTCATTTTGTACTCCAAAGCCAAACTTGCCTGTTATTCCGGTTATCTTTTGGCTTCCTACTTTAGCATTCCAATCCCCCATGATGATAAGGACATCATTTTTGGGTGTTAATTCTAGAAGGTGCTGTAGGCCTTCATAGAACTGGTCAGCTTCAGCCTCTTCAGTACCAGTGGTTGGGGCATAGACTTGGACTACTGTGATGTTGAATGGTTTGCCTTTGGATTTGAACTGAAATCATTCTGTCATTTTGGAGATTGTATCCCAGTACTGCTTTTTCTACTCTTTTATTGACTATGAAGGCTACTCCATTTCTTCTGAGGGATTCTTGCCCGCAGTAGTATACCTGATGGTCATCTGAATTAAATTCACCCATTCCTGCCCATTTTAGTTCACTGATTCCTAAGATGTCGATGTTCAGTCTTGTCATCTCTTGTTTGACCACATCCAGCTTGCCTTGATTCGTGGATCTTACATTCCAGGTTCCTATGGAGTATAGATCTTTGCAGCATCGGACTTTCCTTTCACCACCAGATACATCTGCAACTGTGTGTCCTTTTGGCTTTGACCCAGTCACTTCATTCTTTCTGGTGCTACCAGTACTAGCCCTCTGCTCTTCCCCAGTAGCATATTGGACACCTTCCGACCTGAGGGTCTCATCTTCCAGCGTCATATCTTCTTGCCTTTTGGTACTGTCCATGGGGTTTTCATGGCAAAGATACTGGAGTGGGTTGCCATTTCCCTCTCCAGTGGATAAATATTACAGATATTAAAATAAATAGAATGCTGATATTAGCTGACACTGAAACTAAAATACAGTATAACACAGTATTATCAAAGCACCCAAGAGTATCCTGTGGATGAATCTTTAGCTAGATATGCTCGAACAGTATTATTACTTTGCATTTATTTCCTGCCTTTTTTTCCTTCTGTGAAGAAATATGAAACTGTAACAATGTCCAGTAATTTATTTTATTCTTGTTTCTTAACGCTCATATTCTCTATTTTCAACAAGTCTGAAATCACTTTTTGATAGTGTAGTGGCTGTCATACTTAAAGGACAGATGAATATAAAATCATTAGACATTAGTTTTACAATCTCCTTTCTATAAAACTATAGCTAAAGTCCTGCTTCTTACTAAACTTCAGTAAATGTTGCACATTCCCATTTTGCATTTGCTTGTAGTCTGTGCACATGTAATTCTCATTACAAACATGGGACCTACTTCTGGGTAATCAATAAATTATTATTGAATATAATTTGGCTTTTATTATGGAAGCATTTGGTTTGCTAAGGATTAATTCTTTCTTTAACAAAGCTGAATGATTGTATAAGAGTTTCCCATTTTATGCTTCTTGCCTTTGAATTTGTTCCTGACATTTGTATTCACAAACAAATTTAGTAGTCATTTCTAGAATTACCTTTTGGTGTCTGTATATGTGCATGTTGCCAGGTTTCTAGTGCTTTTGTAATCTGGAAGGCTCTAAGCAAGTGAAATTCAATATGACTGATGAGTGTTATCCTCAATAATTCAAATCATGTATTAATTCAACATTGTAGCTCCACTGAAATCACTAAGAGACTGGAAACTTTAACTAGGAGCTTAACAGTAAAATCTTATGTCTGTTTATTCAGAAATAAGCCTCACGGAGTGCAATGAGAATTACCCCCCAGATACATGTGCACAAGACTACAACCAATTATAAAATCAGGAAGATGTGACATTTACAGAAGTTTGGTAAAGAAAAGGATTGTAACTATAGTTCTGTGGAAAGGAGGTTGTAAAACAAACTCCTATTTAATGATTTAGCAAGTTGGTAGCTTTCAATCATATGGCATTTTCTCTAACATTCTCATCTTTACCTTTTGAGGAAGCATCATGTTTATTACAGAGTAGAATACTTCTTGTGAATCTCTGTCTTCACTGTGTAAAAAGAAAAAAAAATTAATTTTCAAACAATAATAATGTTTGATAGCTTTTGCATAACATAAAGCCCTTTTCTACATTCATTCAAGGAATCTATTACTACAAGTAAAGTTAAAAGTCACCTAAGCAAGGATATTGAGGGGAAGATTTTGATGAATTCACTAGGAATCTAAGTAGTTAACTGAGGTAAGGGAAAGTTCCAAGCCAACCCTTCTCCAAGCTTCTTGATTTCCCTGGAGATGCTGACAGTTGTGTGCTTGGCCCTTCTTGTAAACCTTAAATATAGTTGGAGGGTTAGATCATCTGGTCTTCTGGATGATACACTTCTGAAAAGAGTAATTGTTAAAGTAGCATTGGATGGATAATTAGCCTTCTGAGGTGGTTGTTGAAATATTTAATATTGTGATAAATATAATTCCATCTAGGCATCTTTCTTTATAAACAGTGCTATTAGTTGTAGTAATTGCTGTTTTATTAAATTAAATAGTGCTACATGAATTTCTAAATGATGATTTTCCCCACCAAACAATGTATATTCAAATATTAATGATTAGCACAGACCAGATATTTTTTCTTGTACCCTCAAGATGTTATTTTAATGAAGAACTGATAGGAGTCTCTGCAAGAATTCTATTTATCCTTCATTTATTTTAATTGTTTCAAAGCTATAACAAAGTCATTAGGAACCTGCAGGACTGTTAGCATGATATGAAGATGTCAGATGTATTTCAACTAAGTTATTGAAATTCAGTTTTACAGCAATATACCCACATAAGTGTGGTGCCAGTGTGGTGTAGTGGTTAAGAGCATGGGACTGGGACTCAAACGATCTGGGTTCTAGTCCCCACTTGGCCATGGAGCCAATTGGGTGACTTTAGGCCTGTCACAGACTCTCAGCCCAACCTCCCTCACAGGGTTGTTGTTGTGGGGATAAGATGGAGGAGGAGAATGATGTAAGCTGCCTTGAGCCCTTTGAAGAAAAAGGCAGGATATAAATCAGAAAATAAATAAATATCTCCTTAGATAAATAATACTGAGAGGTAGTGTGACATAGCCATTAAGACGGAACTGGGACTCAGGCAATCCAGCTTCTCCTCCCTACGTGGCCATGGAGCCAACTGAGTGACTTTGGGCCAGTCACAGACTCTCAGCCCAACCTACCTGACATAGTTATTGTGGGGATAAGATTGAGAGCAAGAGGAGGAGGAGAATGATGTATGTTGCTTGAGTTCATTGAAAAAAAGTTGGGAATTGCAAACTAACATTTATCCAAGAAATATGTTACTAATTATCTACTTATAATCTAAAGTGTACAAACTACTTTATTTTAAACAGGGAAAGAAGGAGATGAATGAAAGGATTCAAAGCAAGCAAAAGAAGCTCCAGGTCATTCTCGAGGATGAAACTCCACCTCCATGGAGCCCTCCTGGCAAAGCTGTGTCCTCAAGAAGCTATTGAGACATTCAGTACCGTGCATGAAGGATTTTCCAACATTCTGCCATCTTCTAATCATTATTGCACAACATCTGATTTTAACATGAATTGAAATTGGCTCATGCATCCTTTCTTTACAGGTGGGGCTGTCTTGTATAGAAACACTATACTTGTGGTTCATTATGGGTTGCACACAACTTCCCGGGGGTTTTTTTCCATGAACTATATTGGTGGATCAAAAATATGGAGGGCAGTCATTAACACTAGCTGTAGTACATCACTATTAATAAAAAGATATTGAGAATTCTGAAAGAATAGTAGACACCTTTCAGTTAGAGGGATGGAGCTTAAGCAGCTATCCCCTCTATGCATCTTAAAGCACTGGCAGACCCGCTAAAATCGTAGTACAGTCCTCTGTTATGAGGTATGATTTTTTTCAGCTAAGGCATTACATTCTGGTATTTTAGAAACAATGACTCTGATACAAGATTTGTTTCCTCTCAGAAGAAACAAGAACTTTAGAGACATTTGAAGCATGAAGGAATGTTGACTGACCTTGCTGGCTGGGGCTTGCAGGTGTTGTAGTCCATTGCTTACCCTAATGTAGCCTAATGCACTTTTACTGTGAATGTTCATTGTGACTGAATGTGCTTCCAGAAAAGGATTTTACCTTGCCTGATTTGTAGAATTTTATAGGGGATCCTGCCAATAACAGCCTGAGTTTTCCCACAGCTTCTCCATCTTTTTCTCACCTCAAAAAATCCATTAAGGAGAAAAGTTGTAGTAGCTGCACCGTGCTTTCCAGTTGTTAGCACTGAGGTCTGGAAGTACCCTACAGCTGCCACCCAATACATGCTTGAACTGGGAGTAAGTCCCAGTGAGGCTTACTTCTGAGGAGATATGTAGAAGAGTACACTATAAATAAATTGTTGTAAACAGAAAGAAGCCTTAAGGTAGCCATTCGTTCCAGCTCTCACCTGTGGTAAATGGTTGCAATGTTTTGTCCCTTGTAACTACTTGAATGGCCTGGGCATGTATAACTATAGCACACATAAAATAAGATTAGTATATTTTTGTGAAAAAGTTCACAAGTGACTCACACATGAATGTTTTGATACAAACGAAATTCTAAACTAAGTAAAAGGGTCCAAGAACCGGGTTTGCAAAATATTTACAAGATGAGATGCTTCATTTCAGACCTAATGCTTCCTTTGATTCTGTTATAAGCAGTCACTCTGCCAACATAGTCCAGAAAAAAACAGCAGCATGTTTTGGCCCCCAGACATCATTTTCATGAAACCACTGGATCCTGATTAAAGCATTTTAAGAGCCATCATAGCTCTTCCTATATTTTGTTTTGATCATGAAGCATATTTAATCGGCAGTCATTTGTGGCTCCTTCAAAAACTACTCAAGCAATTGTGTCTAAAATTATTTCAGAATTGGTACCATAATCACATGAAAGTAACTGAAGCTCTCCGTAGACTTCAAAGAGGAATGATAAAATGGTTTTGAACCATAATTCACAACTGTAGATGTATTTCTCCATCCACAATATCATAAATTAATCCTTTTTTTTTTCTTCAAAGAGGAAATATCGCTTAGATGTGTTGTTGGAGCTGTGAACAGTAAAAGCATGGGCCCCAAAGAAACACTTCCTGTAGCAGTGGGAGGGACTGGATTAGACCACTTTGTCCTTCCCAATTCAATCCAAGCTCTTGTCATAGTCCTTCCCAATTCAATCCAAGCTCTTCTCGTAGGGGTAAACCATACAGAACGTCTGCCATCTCAGTCTCCAGCCCACCCAGTCATTTTTATCCCTTCAGTCCATGCCTTGTCAGCTGGTCTTTCCATTTTCAGTCCCAATTTAAAGCATAGACTTAAATATTTAAAGCCCTGAATGACTTGAGATCAGGTTGCCTGAAAGATCATCTAACCCCATGTGTAACTACTGGAACCTTAAGATTTTCTTCAGAGGGTTTGCTCTGAGGTCTCCTACAAATGCAGTGTGGCAGGGAACTACCATGGAAAAAGCTTTTTTGTAGTGGAACCTGTAATGGAGCAGCTTTCCTAGAGAGATTTACCTGGGGCACTTCGTATCTGCTGGGTATAGCTGAAGACCTATTTGCCATGCAAAACCTTATAAATACTTCAGTTTTTGTGTCCTTGTCCTCTTGTTTCAAATCTGTGTTTTAGCTGTGTTTAGTTTTAATACAATTGAATAGTTCTATATTGTAATTGTTATATTTGTGAGCAAGCCAGAGAACCTGTGCTATGCAATGACTGTGTAAGTATAGTAAAGACACAAATAGAGGCAGGTGGCAACTTCTGTGGCTACTTTTCCATTAGTTTCCATGATGCTTAGAAGAAGGCAAATGGGAATGGCAAAGGAAAGGAAGGACAGTTTCTAACCTGTGCCTGCAAATTTGCACAGATTTCCACTGGTTCTCTCTGTTATGGCAGCTGCCTATCCTGAAGTTGGTATAAAGTTAAGAGAGAAAGGAACCAGTAAAATAAATAGGCCTATCTTTACTGCAGAGTTTTTAGACTATTTTCTGCATTTTGGCAGAGACAGGCACTTCAGAAGCTTTCTTTGTTGTACCAAACTTTGCAGCAAGTATAATCTTGCTAGAGACCCTGACAGACAATGGAATGTTGTATTTGCAATACAGTAAAGATCTAAATTCTCTTTGGACTTCGGAAACTATTTCAGGAGCAAAGTGCTAAGATGCTTTTAAGATTGTCTTAGCAGACTCAAAATAGAAATTCTGTGATACTCCCTTTATCATAACTCTTCTGACAAGTTGTTACAATGGTGAGCTATTAACATTCTTACAGCTTTCTTTGTTTTGGTTTACTTTAAAATAGTTTACAGTTTTAAAACAATTGTAAGCTAAAACAGCAGTGTATGAGAGAAACTATTTTGTCTCCCATGAGCTTGGATTCTGGCTGTTATAATGCCTCTTCTGCTTCAATCTAAAATTATAATTGTGGACGGTCTTGCAGAGGCAGTACACACTGCAACTATTACATGGACTATAGTGTTCTCATTTACTTTCCTTTTCCTTTTTATGGATTGCGAAAGCTTTTCCCAACACATTAAAGTTGGAAGCATTTGTAATGCACCCCACTAGGTTATTAGCCTGGGTCACCAAGCGTCAAATAAGCAGATCAGTATGCAAAATGTTATTTATCTGAACTACATAAAGAGCCCCTTCAAACAAGGCAAATTTCCTACCAGGAAAGTATTTTAATGTTGAGGTAAGGGAAGCAAATCATGGTTAGACTGGCCCAAAACCACACATGTATCTGATGAAAGTGACACATAAGTGATGATAACCACATATACTACCTCTGTGAAAATTGCACACAGTGAAATCAAACGAGTTAGCTTCCATCCCAAGTGTCAATACACATGCAATTTGTGTGCTTCTTAGATCAAAATTGTTTCTCTGTAAGATGTTTGTCACATATAATGTGATTTTCTGTGGGCAGGTTGTGTCCAGAAAGAGGGTGTAATAGACCAGTTGGGGAAAGTTACAACAACTGCTGTTTCATAACCATTTTTGTAAACCGGTGTTCTTTGTGCTAAGTTGCTGCTGTGTTAGCATCATAGAAATGATCAATTCTCAGCTTGCATTGTAATCCCTGCTTAGAAAGTTTGCTGTATAATTAATTAAACTGGGGGAAGGACACGATCAGTTTTAATGTCAGTTTCAATCTAGGTTGTTTAAGGAAAAGGCTAGGATATGATCTGTTTCTGTAAAAGAATGAAAAGGGTGTGGCTTCTGTTGGTCTGGGAAAGTTGTCTATGTTCTGTCTGTCCTGCCTTCCATCCTTCCTTCCTAGATGTGTGTGAAAAATCTAGAAGAAATGTTCCCAAAGGACAAATGTCTACCTATCCTCCAAATGAACTTTGTTCCTCTGGCCAGCCTAAATTACAAAAATAATTTGGGTTTGGCGTAGCTGGAATTCAAGAGGGAACTGTCTGGTCAAAGCCATCCTTCACTGCTCTGCATGTGATGATGCACCACCGCCAGTCAGTGGAAGCTGTTACCTTCCACCTAGGCAACAGGTGTTGTCTAGGTGCCAGTATTTTATCTGCCATTTGATAAGTTGAAGTCATCCATCCAGCTAATTTAAGCAGTTAAAGCAATTTGTAAGTACATAACATTGCTCCATGCCTTAGATAAGCAGAGCATCTTTTGTAAACTCCAGACTTGACTCTAAGCAAATTTTACTTCTGGATACACATAGTCACCACCCCTGTACCAAGGAACTTCTCAAGACTATTTTATCAGTCTGTTGACATGGGATTTATTGTGAGTGATGGATAAGTTAATGTTGCATGTCAGTTTTAAGAAATCAAGTCTTCATAAATAGTTTCCTTTTTCTGAAAACTTTTTTCTCCTTTCCTTACATGTTTCTCTTGTTATAGCTCATAATACTGTATGGAGACTTTTGCACCCTTTGGGACTATACTTTTAGTACCAACTTGTACATAAAAGTCCTTTTTCTGATATAGTCACTTCCTATTTTAGCTACATATGGCTATTTAGTCTAAAGTGATTGCATATCTTAGTATGTAATTTGGAAAGGCAACTCAGTCATTTGCTTCTCTGTTTTAGTTCAGAAGGCACTGTTAGGGGTTACACTAATTCAGGAAATTGTCTCTTGTCACTTAGATAAGATAATAAAATGTAGTTTGATCCAACCAACGCCAGTCTTTGTAAGACACAAGGTAACAATTTAAGGAATATGAAAAAAATGGCATTATTCCTGTATTTTTTGTATTGTTTTAGGTTGGCAGGCAAAATTCTAAGCAAGTATATATCTCAGGTAATCAGTTAAATTCTTTTAACTGAACCATGTTAAGTATAAAGAGGGATTTTTTTTAAAGAAACCTATGTGGTATTTTTGATTTCCTTGAAGAACGTGTCATTTTTCTTTAACCAGATGCTGTGAATATATTTATTGCTTATGGCATTTTGAGGAATATAAATAAAGTCTATTTTGAAATAAGT